GAGCTTGGTGGCATTAGCATTCCTGTAGTGCTTACCTCTGCAATTGCTGGACAGTCCAGGACTTTTTTTTCTAAAGCTGCAATCTTCTATTCCAAGGCTTTCAAACCAGTCTTGATCCGCATCTCCATACTCAGCAGCTTGTTAAGAATGGCATCAAAAATATCAGTCTGGTTTCCCTCAACAATTTGAAGTGAATTGTTCACTCATCTCAGCTGCGCTTTGACTGATGATTGATCCGTTGTGTTCAATTTCTCTTGAAGTTCAGTCAGTTTTGTTAAAACAAGGTTGAATTGTGAAGGACTGGGGTTTCTGATTCGAGAACTTGGCATACCATAAACGTCCATGTAGAAGCCGCATCCGTAGATAAGCCGCACCCCCAATTTGGAGGTGCAGAATTTGGAAAAAAATAGAAACAATACAGTTTGAAGTTTCAGTAGAGTTGTATTGCTACAAACAATCCAGGTTTGGAAAAACCCACATAGAAGTTGTGGCTGTCTTTCACATTTATCAAATTTATAGAAAGCAAAATTTCATTTGTCGTACCTTCTTTTTCATTGGAATTTATACCATCTTTAACTTAAAATGCTCTTTCAATCTGATTTTTCAAGGTTATCACTTCGAAACACACCATAAAGTTGAAATTCCTTCGGCATTGAAAAAAAAAACCAAACAAACAAGTGCTTAGTAGGCAAGCTTTAAATGTTGGGAGGAGTCTGGGCCTTTCGACTCAGGTGTTCAGGGATACCCCATGTATAAAGATGTTTGGAAACCCGCAATAGGCAAAAAACTTCATGCAGAACAGGAGCCTGATAATGCAGTCGACAAATTTGCCATGAAGGTAGTAAAAAACAACGAGAGATTCTTTAATATACAATAATAATATACAGTATTTATAGAGCGCTAATTCCCAATGGTCCAAAAGCGCTTTACATAATAAAAATAACAAAATCCTAAACCTACAAAACTTCATTGTCATTCTATAAAAATTCCCAATGGTCCAAAAGCGCTTTACATAATAAAAATAAGAACAAAATCCTAAACCTGCACTATTTAGGACACTCTGTAAACGTTTCAAGATACATTTAGGCTGACCGTAGAGCAGTGAGTTACAATAGTCGATCCTTGCAGTAACAAAGGCATGAATTAGAGTTTTACATGTATCGTAAGAAAGAAACTTGCGAATCTTAAAAATATTGCGTAAATGAAAAAACGAAGACTCGCAAACAGCAGTAACGTGCGGCAACATCGATAGAGAGTTATTAAAAATAACTCCAATATTTTCAGCAGTAGTTGAACAGTCAACAGTGTCAGAGGCAATCACCAGGTTTGTTAACGCAGGACGTGGGCGATAGGAGGATGAAAAAACTATAATTTCAGTCTTCCCACTGTTCAGCTTCAGTTTGTTATTTAACATCCAAAGGTCAATATCTTTAACACAATCTTCAAGAGCAGATGTACATGTTGACATATCCTCAGGCGATGACGTTTCAAAAGATAAATATAGCTGTGTATCATCAGCATAAAAGTGATAAGATAGACCATGAGATCTTGCAATATCACCTAAAGGGGAAGTGTACAAAGAATACAGCAAAGGGCCCAAATGCACATGTTTAATACTAATAACTTCACCGTATTTACCCAGCTCGTCACGAATCAAAGCATCATCACCTTCGACGGGAAAATAATGCACGTAAACCAAAGAATGCGGCTTATCTGAAGAGGTCACGCTAAGATCATGCCCATCTAACGTTAACGAACCAACGCGCACAAATTCCTCTTTATCCGAAGCATTCTTAAAGGTAACACGTATCAAGCCCCTGGTGCAAAACTGAATGGCAGAAAGCCCTTCAAAATCAATGCACTCCCTAAGGAGCGCAATCACACAAGCCTTTTCATAACTTGCCACCATCTCCGACGCAGGAATTACACACGTCTTAACGCACTCCAAAACCATAGCAAAAAACAACAAAAAGCCCAAAAATGGATGGGTGACGAAAAAACCGGCAAAAAACCCGTGGGATGACAAAACGCCAAACTCAACAGGCCAAAAAGCCAAGAAAAACGCCAATCCAATACAAGATTGGAAAACAACTAAAGACTGGCTTACCCCAGGTTACGGCAAGAGACCGAGCATAAGTCCCTGGGAGGGTCACCAGAAAAACAGCCAAAAAACCAGGACGCAATTATACTCACAATACTCCTGCTTCTTTATCCAACAATCGCTTGTAAACCCGCAAATCCACGCTCGATACTAAGACACAGGCCAAAACCCGCATCAGGTCAGTTTTTTTATATTTAAGGTGAACGGCCAGGCTCCCGTGAGGGCGGTGCAATGCCTACCGATCTATAGACCTAATCCAACCCATGGCTGAAAGTGCAATGCCTTAGGGTTGGGTCCACCAAAAACCGAGGGCCACCAGGCATCAACTTCGTTGGGGAATCGAACCCCACCTTGCCAAAATTAACACACACACTCCAAAAATTGAACACACTCCCTCACGAACCACAGAGACACAAAACCAAACACACACTACTGACACGAGGACCCCCACACAGTACACCAGTGAAGGAGACCCAGCGCAGGAGGTCACACCACCAGATACAACACAAACCGCCCAGATTAGGGCCATGCAGCACTAAAACCCCCATGCAGTACACCAATGAAGGAGACCCAGCGCAAGAGGGCACAGAACAAGAACAGAAAGAACACAATGCCCAGATTAGGGCCATATATCAGAAGACGCATCTTGGATTCTGACATACTGAGTGCGATCAGATAGATATGAACGAAACCAGTCCAGTGCCTGGTCACAAATGCCAAAACGGGTAGATAGTCTAGCAAGCAGAAGAGAATGATCAACTGTATCAAAAGCTGGCAACGAACTTTTGAAAAGCAATCCAACGCCACCACCTCTTCCATCACGAGCAGAGTGTAAAAAGCGATAGCCATTTGGGATAAGACTTCCGGTTACTAAATTATCATAATCCCCAGTGTTGAGCCAGGTCTTGGTAATAGCAAAAATATCAAAATCCTTGTCCACAACATAGTCCTTGATAGAGAGATAGTTATTGCGGACTGATTGACAATTCAGGAGGCCAAACAAACAAAACTTCGAAGCCGATAAAGTACATTTGTTGGAGATAACAGGTTTCCTGTTCGAAGTAATGCAAATCTGCACGAGATTATTCTTGTTAACAGCATTATGCAAATTTTTAACTTTAGAAGGAAAAGTTCTTCGACTTTCCACAGTATTGATAGGCCAAACCCTGTCGGTAATTCCACTCTTGACTTCCAATCCTGACATAGTCAGATTAGTTGTCGATGTTCTAAGATGAAGATCAGAATCACACTTGATTTGTATGAGGGTTGCGACGTCGTTGCATTTCATGGCGCTGCCAAAAGCAATTTGTTGTAAACAATGTAATAGAAGGACCAGGGTTAGGATTGATGTCACCGCTGTTTGCCAGCCGAAGTCGAGTAACATTGAAAGTAGAAATAGAGTTTGGTGTGTAAGGTATTCGTGAAGTAAAGTAGCAACTCGTCCTTGTTGAGGATTGTAATCGAAGATGGCGGGTCGATTTCATCCATGATGAGCAAATTGCAAGGTACAAATCCATTTCATCAATGTTCATCGCAACTTCACCATCGCTTAAAACACGACAAAAACCAAAAAGGAACGTACTCGGGTGACACAACGAATGACTTAGACAACAGAACAAGAATAAAAATAAAATTGAAGCGGAGCAAATACAACTGCGACCAACCGCCATCAGTGAAAATACAATTCCTTGTATGTTGGTGTTTAGTTGTTCAAGTAAAGCAAAAATTACTTGCTTGAAAGAACTCTTGGAGAGCAAGATTCGCTGATAAACACGCGAAGACACAAACAGCTCCTTTAGGCTTGGTTCAAACGTCGAACTTTACATGTGCCTAACCTAATACCTATTTGGGTTGACCTAAATAATTAAGTTCGGCAGTTGATTCAGACATTGAACTTAATTGAGTCGAACCAAAAAACCTGAACAATAAACTACGATCAGTATGGTCAGCGGTTACTGTTATGAGTCCAAGAGGATTCAACATGCTGCTTCAGTTTTAAGAAAAAAAACTGCTATCAATGCAGGTCCTGTAAAAAATTAAAAAAAAAATATATAAAAATAAAAATAAAAAAGATTTAAAATATAGATAAAAATCAAATTACAAGATTACAAAATAGTTTCACTAAACGAAAGATCGAACAGTTATAAATTCTAAGAATTATTAAAAATTATTAAAAATTTTTGCACCTTTGTAGAAAAAAGCGCGCTTGGTGCATTCTAAATTAATTTTTTCTAAAATAAGGTCATTATTATTTCTAGTTTTGTGGCGGTGAATGTCACGGTTTCTTACATTGAAATAATTAGAAAGGTATCTGGGAACTCTATTTGCAATGCACTCATCAACAAATCTTAAAATGTGTGTCCGTCTTCTATAATAGAGAGGTCCCAAGCCCAGTTTAGCCATAATTTGATCAGTTGATAGTTTTGAGGCAGCTTTGAAGTAGATGATCCTCGCTGCTTGTCTTTGTAGTCGTTCAATCTTGTCACTGTTTCCTTGTCCACATTCATGCCACACAACATCACAATAATCTAGAACCGGGAGGACCATGGCTTAATAGAGTCTATTTGCAGCTTCTAGCGTAAGTGAAGGACTTATTCTAGAGAACATTCCGAGTATCTTAGATACCTTCATCCTCACATAGTCCACGTGATCATTGAAGGAAAGGGTGTCATCAAGAACGACATCCAGATACTTAAATGTGTCCGTGTGCTTAATGGAATGTCCATTTAGGCTTATATCAGTTTCATCACACTTTTGTCTTGCGAGTTGTTGGCGGGTGCCGAACGTCATGAACGTCATGAATGAAGTCTGCTAAGTCCTTGTTGACCATCTGTGGAGTGAGTGCGTGTCCAGTCATATGCCCAAGACTCAAGATGATTTCAAGAAAAAAATGTTAGATATGGATGAGTTTTGGCAATTCCCTTGCTGTCGGGCAGCAATAGACGGCTGTCATATTCCCATTAAGTGCCCTCCTGGTGGACTAGAAGCCTGCAAGGAGTATCATAACTTTAAAAACTTTTATTCCATAGTACTAATGGGGCTGGTAGATTCCCATTGCAGGTATATATTACATGCTGTAATTTTTCGTTTAGCGGACCTCTGGAACTCGATCAAAGAAGGTTTTATTCCAATGATTGGCAAAACTGTGAGGGATGTTACTGTCCCGCCTCTCATTGTTGGAGACTCCGCATTTCCCCTTTGTTCTTGGCTACTGAAACCATATACCAATGCTGTATTGACACCTCAGCAGCATTACTTCAAGTATCGCTTGTCTAGAGCGCGCATGGTCACACAAGCTGCATATGGTCAACTTAAGGGGAGGTGGAGGGTCCTATTCAGGAAAAATGAAAGCAGCCGAGATCAAGCCCGCATAACCACTTTACCATGCATGGTGCTTCACAATACTTGTATTATGCAGGGAAATGCCATCTCGAGGAAGCTTGATTTGTCTCTTGATGAAAGTGGTGGAAAGAGGAACAGGGACGAATTGAGAAAGTTGCTGCAGATGAGAGACTGTCTAAGCATAAGGGATGCTTCTCGGGAGGCAGCCAGAATCAGAGATGCACTCTGTGAGAAATTATGGCTAGAGAAGCAAACGGGGAAAGTTTCCTAAACCCTAAAAAACTCATTATTGCTATTATTACTATTCATGCATGTAGTATCCACTTTGCACAAACTTGCAGCAAAATTGCTACCAATCTGCTAGTTTGGCTGAAATAGCAGAGTAGTTGCAAAACATTCAGTCAGTTTTACGTGTATTTGATAATGGGGAACTTGTGAGTATCCCTGATACCATGGAAGTGATGGTATGGCTTTTGTTTGATCTGATGTAGTATGCTAGAGTATTTTAAAAAGATGCAACAAACCTGTCTATTAAGGTTATTTTTAAATCACAGACTTTTTAACCAGATTGTACAAGACAGGGTAAAGTGATTTCCTTTGGGCCATGAAACAGAAACCATGAGTTTGATACTATTTTGGACAACAACTACTGCAAACTGTAGCTGAAGAAAGTTACTCTCTAGAATTATTTCATAGTCACCTCTTTCGTAAATGGCAGGTATTATAACCATCCTTTTGCGTACATGCGAATAAGCCTTCCTGGTCCCGATTTTGAGTGAAAATTCAACCATAGTATTGTTACACATGTCGACAAGACTAGGAAGGCTAATTTAGGTGCATATAAAAGAATAACAATAGGCCGGTCCCACCATTTATGATAGAAGTCTATTACATTGCATAATAGCCCCACACTCAAAATGATTATAGCATTTTCATGTCTGAGTTTACAGCAAGTTGTTTTGACTGTCAGTGTCTAGGGCATTGTTTTTGATGTTCTTTGTTACACTTAGAAGTTGTAAAACATTCTAATCATTGATCATTGAAATATGAGTAATAATATAAAATGTTGATCAAAAACAACCCATACTGGTTATAATAATATCACTAGCTGAAGATATACTGTAAAGAGGGAAACAATTCTCTACATTGATCCATTTTCAAAAATGCATTTGCAACATTAAAACTATTGTTTATTTTGAAACTGAGTTGAACTATTGTTGTTTTCCTCTTTGTATTAATAACTAGGTTCTTTTTTAATGTATGAAACTTTTGATGGAGGGGGAAATTTCCATGGATTGCATCATAGACTTTTTATAGCAGTAACAGTTCCTTCAGCTAACCTTATTCAGAAGCTTCCTGCAAAACATTAACTATTGATTTCACATGTTTCTTTCTTTTTTTTTTAAACACTTATAATATCAACAGTGACAGAGCAATAATTTCATTAAACAAATGTGCAAAAAAGTAATGAACATGACAGTCCAGTCCAGTATAGCCCCTGTCGTCTAGTCCCATTGGGTTAGGGTAGGAGGCTCCAAATGACCATTCAGACATCCTCGGACCTGGATGACTTAAGGGACCTTGTGCAGCATTATGCAAGCTTGGGTAATAGCCAAGATTTCCATTGTGTGGGTTGTGTTCATTTCCAGAATAAGGTGTGCTATTAAGGCTGGCATTAGGTCTGTGGCTGAGCAAAAGCTAAAACAATCTAAGCTCATGCTCTCGGGATTTTTTCCATTTCTTCTTTCATGAATGATATCAGTTCTTTGGTGGGGTCGTTTTGAACAGCCTCTCTTACAAGGGTCAATACCTCTGTTATTGCTGAATCCAGTCTCTTTTTAGACAACTGCCTTCTTTTTGTTTTTATTAGAACAAATAGTTCTTTTTCCTTGACACTGTTATCCGAGATTTCCACAGACAAATCACTAGGTGAACTTGAAGCTGAGGGCTCTAGTGCCAAATTGGGCTGGCAAGATTCCCTTGTCTTCACCACTTCAAAGAGAGTGGTGAACCACTTGCCTAATGCTTGATCTTCTTGAAATCGTTTGATTCCAGTTGCAGATTTTTGTGTCAGGGCTGCCTGCTTACACAAAGAGACACATTTTTTGAACTTGCTTCGCAATTGATTCGCAGAGAAATCGAAGTGTTCACCTCTAGCAGAAGCTCTGGCTTTAACTTCTTTCAAAATTTCTCCATAGAGCTCTCCATTTCTCTGATTCTTTGTATTTGTGAAAATAAGTTTCTTTTTATATGAGCTGTTACTCACAATGATATCGATGAGATCATCAAGTGCCTGTGGACACCACTTGGCTTTTCGACCTGGTTTCTTTTTCTTTTGTCCATTGGCTTTTTTCATGAAAAGTTTGAGAGATGTGTCCAAGTCTCCACCCTCTTCAGCCTCTTCATCTTCTTCATCCACTTCTACCTCGTCATCATCATTGCCTGCTGTAGCCATTCTATTCCTACCAATGGAAAAACAATAACATACATTATATTACTGCTATCCGCCACAAAATAAGCATGATGATAAGTCCTACAAATTTTTATCTTGTCCACTAAATAAACAATGGTATCAGTGCTTTCCTAGTATGTCATCAAAATTTGTTTTAACATTCTTTTACAAACTTTTGTAGTTGACTACTTGGCTTGTTTGTTATTGATAGGAAACAGGTTTTTAAAGATCACAAGAACAATAACAACTCAAACATGGCAGTAGAAATATGAAATTATGGCATCATCAGTATTTCGGTTCCATAATTGAAACTAAACATGTGGTTGTGTTGTTTTCATACTGACCTTTTCGTTGTATCTTCTTTGATGGATTTCCTTTTTTTAGAAGACCGTTCTTCCTGCTTTGCAAGATCTCGATCTTTGCGGGATTCATCAGAATCATATTTACCTGCAACCTTTTTGCTCTCTTCCATAACTTCTCGGTAATATGGCTCACAATATGTGACTGAAGTGCCTGCTTTCCAGCCCTTGACAGTTTCATCATTCCCGAACACAGAACAGGGAAAACAGAAGTATTCCTGGCATCTTAAACAAGTATATTTTGTATTGTTAAAACAAGAGGAGCAACATTGTTCTTCTTTACCCGCCATTTTCTCAAATTTAGTCTTCTGCGCATGGCAACAACGTAAAAACAAGCGGGATTGTGGGAAAAAATTATTAATGTAATGTATGCATAATGTATGCGTAATGTATGCGTAATGTATGCATTTGGTTCGGCACATGTAAAGATCGACGTATGAATCAAAGTCGATCTTTTGCCGTTCTTTTCGACAAGCTCAGTCGAATAGAACGGCAGATCGACCCAAATAAAAAACTGTCAATCCCAATTGATTCATACGTCGAACTTTGCATGCGCCAAACTAAATTATTAGGTTCGGCACATGTAAAGTTCGACGTTTGAACCAGGCCTTAGGAGCCACCACTCAATGAAAAAGTGAATGAACTACAGCAACACGCTCTCAGTTTCTTTTATGTTTATTTCTTGGCATCTTAAGAAGTTTTATGAATATTAATTAGGTTTTTGAGAACTCCAAACACAGATGTATCCATGGATAAGCCGCACCCTTGATTTTTGGCTTCAATTTTGTGAAAAAAAGTGCGGCTTATACATGTTTGTCCAAAAGCTAAAGTACTCAAAGTAGAAGGAGTACTGGAAAAGAACAAGTTCCTGACTTGGATTTAAATTCTTCATCAAAAGAAGAGACCGAATTTGATTGTTTACTAGACAGCTGGGCTCCGACAAGTTGTGATGAGAATGCTTACACAGCTGACACAGAGCCATTGTTGTCCGCAAATTTGCGCAGGAGACTGAAAGATTGATTGAGGAAGGGTTTCAAAAAGGAAGACTTGGATTATTTTGACGGTGATAGCAGTGATGAAAACGAAGATGCTACTGATTGTATTGGCGGAGTCCATGCACATGGTCATGATTCACCTAATTCTGTCTAGTAATGAGGACTGCTCATTTATTGGCTTTTATTGTTCTTATTTTCCTGGCAGTCTGGGGAGTACCTTTTGACAGTAACAAACTAAAAACAGTCGAACCTCCCTATTTATTATTCAAAGTTAGTATAGAAATCTTTTTCAAAGTTAAAAATATTCACAATTGAGCATGGTTTTATTCCTCCTTTCTCTTACCAAAATTGGTTAAACAGAAAAATCATGAATGGTCATTCTTTGAACTGCAAAAGATAACTAACATTTGTAAATAATAAAATGAAATTTAACCATTTCAAACTAATAATCATTCCAATTGTGACCTATGAGAATAATTTTTGAGGGTGGTTCAGATTGAATTGTACCATACTTGTTTGTTTTAGTTTGACTCCTTAAACAATTCAGTGTAATACTGCTTACATTAAGCACCACACTGTTGGGCCAGCAGCCACAAATGACTCATTTAGTTCAAGTTGCCCAACTGCTACAAATGACCCAATCAGCTCAAATGACTGAATTGCTTCAAATGACCCAATCGGTTCTGATGACCTAACTCCTCAAATGACTCAACCAGCTCAAGCGAATGAATTGCCTCAAATGAGCTAATCAGTTCCGGTGAACCAATAGCCTCATATGGCCCAACCAGCTCAAATGACCCAATCAGTTCCAACGATCCAACTGCCTCAAATGACCCAACCAGCTCAAATGACTGAATTACTGAATCTCCTCAAATGACCCAATGGGTTCCAGTGGCCCAACTGCTTCAAATGACCTGATCAGTTTCAGTGGACCAACTGTCCCAAATGACCCAACCAGCTCGGATGGCTGTATGGCCTCAAATGACCCAATTGATTCCAGTGGCCCAACTGCCTCAAATGAACTAATCAGTCCCACTGAATTGCCTCAAATGACCCAATAGGCTTCAGTGATCTAAATGCCGAGATGACCCAACCAGCTCAGACAACTAAGTTGTCTCAAATGACCTAATTAGCTCTAGTGGCCCAACTGCCTCAAATGAGCTAATCAGTTCAAGTGACCCAATTTCCTTATATAATCAACTCAAATTACTGAATTGCCTCAAATGACCCAATGGGTTCCAGTGGCCTGAATGTCTTAAATGACTCAACCAACTCAGACAACTAAATTAGGAACCTTTAGATCCGACTCCGAGTACGACTACGAGTATGATTACGAGTACGAGATTTCCAATTACTGAGCAATGCGCATGCGTCATGACCGTGACACTGTCACGTGAAAACTCGTAGCCCTCCTTTCGTTGACGACGAGATTTTTGTGAGAAGTCGTAGCCAGAGGATGAGATTT